TTCAAAATGTATACATTTTGGATTAACTTGTAGAGATTATTTTGATAGACAAAACGTGTAAGGGTCACAACCCTTTGTTAAACACAGATCTTATTTTTTGCGATTTTCCAAAAGCCTATGGGGAAAATGCATAGCTTTTCGATCGAGGGAACCCAACTTCCGAGTTGTCCTACAAAGTGACGTTATCACTTCAGCACTCTATTAAAATGACTGAAAGCGCAGATCACGTGACCATTCACCAACACTGGGCATGCGCGTGCTGCATGAATCAGGGAAGGACACGTCATGACTGATGGCACCCAATCATAGAGCCGAGCGTGAGCCTTTGCGCCAGCGTTTCTAAAGTCCTCCGTTTTGTCCCGTCTTCACTAAAAACGCCCTCCGGAGATTCAAAACGGAGCTGCAGCGTTTCTGAATTTTTTTTCCGTTTTAGTCTGGACGGGAGGTGCAAACGTAGCAAAAGGTCTCAGTAGTGTGGACGGGGCCTAAATATTGTCTGTTCGAAATGTTTTGGAAATGAAAACAGGGAACAATTGCAGGGATCAGTACTGGAGATTCATGGAAAACAGAATCCCAATTGCAGCAAATTAAGATTCTCCAACCCCCGTCCTTCGAGGAAACAAAAGGGAGGCAAACAAAAATGTCATACTGCTAATGTTTTGCCTAAACATCCTTAAAAATGTTCCCTTTCCCGCTGCTATCCCGGTCGGATGGAGAGCAGAGATCTAGGTGTGGACACTAGACAGACAGCGACTGAAGCAGCGTGAACGTAGAGCTGTGGGCGCAGTAATTGATATAATTGGTTTGGCTCAGTGTGTGTGTGGGATAGAGACGGCTCCAGGACCGTGGGATCAGTGGGACTCTAAAGCCCATGAAGCCTGGACTCATCATGTCTCTGCTCGGAGCTCAAATACATTATGTTTGTGAGAAGCATGAACACTTCTGATTGGACTACATTTATCACGCATCAGTTCTATCATCGGAAAAGCTCTGTTACTCAGCCTTATGAGTATCATCATGTGTTGGTGCCAATATCACATTTGTTCATTTATTTAGGCTATGTATTTATATCACTTTATTGATATTGTTGATTTATTTTCACTTAAACTGTATGCACTACCGATACTAGTTTATGCGAGTCTTCAGTGTCACATGATCCTTCAACAATCTGATTTGGTGCTCAATTAATAATAATAGTTTTGATCAATGTCGGAAACCATTTTTGCTGCTTAAGATTCTTGTGTAAAATGTGATCTATTTTCCAGGATTCTTTAATGAATAGAAAATGTATTTGAAATACATTATTTTTGTGACATTACACGTCTTTACTGTCACTTTTGATCAATCGAATGCCTCTAATGTCTGGTTCAGATTACACGATTTTAGCCCGATTTTGGCACGAGCCGTTTAATGTAGGGTGTCGTGGGGATTCGTAAACGACAACAGGCGTCGGGATGTAAGATTCGATCGTATCATCTCATATAGTGTGTCATAGTGGGCGACAACCTATGTCACGTCTGAAATGCTTCACGACATCACGATGTCCATGACGGTTCCATCACATGTATGAGGTTGACCAATTTTAAAACTAAAAGTAAAAATATATAAGAAAACAATATTTTACCTCAAGTTCTTTGGAGGATTGACAGCCCATACTGTCCTCTTCGAGCAATCCAGGAACGTGTACATTGTCGGGTTTTTTTTAACACAGGACAGCCAATAAAACTCTCACCACTTCACCCATTGTTTGTTAAGTTCGTTTCCGTAAGTCACTCGCTACTAGTTTCACCTACTTGACATCACGCGCGCCGTTAAAGAAGGGATGCAATGACTGGTCAGGAAGCAACGTGTAGTCTGACATGTGTCTTGTCCACGACACGACAAGATTTTAGGAGTCAAAATTACGTAATCCGACACAGTGACTATCGTAACAGACAAAAAAAATTGCGTAATCTGACAGTGACTATCGTAACAGACAAAAAAAATTGCGTAATCTGACAGTGACTATCGTAACGGACAAAAAAAAATCGCGAAATCTGACAGTGACTATCGTAACGGACAAAAAAAATTGCGTAATCTGACAGTGACTATCGTAACGGACAAAAAAAAATCGCGAAATCTGACAGTGACTATCGTAACACAAAAAAAAAAGCGTAATCTGACAGTGACTATCGTAATGGACGAAAAAAATCGCGTAATCTGACAGTGACTATCGTAACGGACAAAAAAAATCGCGTAATCTGACAGTGACTATCGTAACAGACAAAAAAATGCGTAATCTGACAGTGACTATCGTAATGGACAAAAAAAATTGCATAATCTGACAGTGACTATCGTAACGGACAAAAAAAATCGCGTAATCTGACAGTGACTATCGTAATAGACAAAAAAAATGCGTAATCTGACAGTGACTATCGTAACAGACAAAAAATCGCGAAATCTGACAGTGACTATCGTAACGGACAAAAAAAATGCGTAATCTGACAGTGACTATCGTAACGGACAAAAAAAATGCGTAATCTGACAGTGACTATCGTAACGGACAAAAAAGATGCGTAATCTGACAGTGACTATCGTAACGGACAAAAAAAATCGCGAAATCTGACAGTGACTATCGTAACGGACAAAAAAAATGCGTAATCTGACAGTGACTATCGTAACACAAAAAAATGCGTAATCTGACAGTGACTATCGTAACGGACAAAAAAAATGCGTAATCTGACAGTGACTATCGTAACGGACAAAAAAAATGCGTAATCTGACAGTGACTATCGTAACGGACAAAAAAAATGCGTAATCTGACAGTGACTATCGTAACGGACAAAAAAAAATGCGTAATCTGACAGTGACTATCGTAACGGACAAAAAAAAAAAGCGTAATCTGACAGTGACTATCGTAACAGACAAAAAAAATGCGTAATCTGACAGTGACTATCGTAACAGACAAAAAAAATGCGTAATCTGACAGTGACTATCGTAACAGACAAAAAAAAATGCGTAATCTGACAGTGACTATCGTAACGGACAAAAAAAATGCGTAATCTGACAGTGACTATCGTAACGGACAAAAAAAATGCGTAATCTGACAGTGACTATCGTAACGGACAAAAAAAATGCGTAATCTGACAGTGACTATCGTAACAGACAAAAAAAATGCGTAATCTGACAGTGACTATCGTAACACAAAAAAAATGCGTAATCTGACAGTGACTATCGTAACGGACAAAAAAATCGCGTAATCTGACAGTGACTATCGTAACAGACAAAAAGAAATCGTGTAATCTGAACCAGGCATAAATCTTACACAACCCAACAGTTTCAACATTGATAATTATAATAATCAGATGTTTCTTGAGCAGTAATTTGAATGATTTCTGAAAGATTATGTGACACTATTAAAGGGATAGTACACATCCTTTAGTTCTAAATTTGTGTCCTTTTTTTCATTCAGCAGGGATGATTCAGTTTGGGCAGATTTGTCTTTTTTTCGTGTATTGTGGTTGTCCTGTAATGAAAGTGAAAGTCTAATGAACAGTTTATTGTAGTTAGCAAGAGACTCTCTGAACGTCGGTGAGATTCTGTGTTTTTTCTACATGCTTACAGCTCTTTGTTTTCACCTCTGTTTCCTGCAGGCATTTAGTTGTTCATCATGATTCAGAAAGCGGTCAGTTCTGTTAGTTAGGATGTGGGTTATAACCAGATCGGATAGTGTTCCAGATGTGGGTGTTTGTGTTCTATCTGTGTCAAATTTTATCAGCTCTCTCTCTTATTGCTCAGTGTTTGCCAGAATGAGGCCTGTCTCATAATTTGACAAACTTATCTAATTATTAATCCGCCACCCATTTGTCATCCTTTGAAACTAATTATATTTTTCTTCATATTGATGCTCGTCCCTCCCAGCCCCCCTTTATATGTTTTCCTTCTCTCTCTCTCTCCCTCGTCTAAACACTTGGTGGTGTAATATCTCCGGACACTTGCCTCGGGGTCACTTTAAACAAATGCAAATGCAATGGTATAAATTTCATAATAAACTGTAACTAAGATGATTGCGCTGCCAGCTATTATCCCTCTACTTAAGAGGTGTGATCCGCCTGGTTATTGCGGCATGACTGGATGTTATTGTAATGGCTGAGAGAATAGAAGATGGGTTTGAATGGGAGGAGAGGGGGTTTATCTGAACATTCAATAATCCTTCCTTTATTTCTGTCTGCTTGATTGATGCCCCGAAACAGTCTGATATGCTTCTGATAACAATATAAAGGAGGGAGGGGGAAAAAACGAGTAAGCTGGAAATACCACGGAGAAGAGGAACCGTGTTTTTTTAAAAGTTATCGAAAGCGAGGTGTCAAAAACAAGCAGATTTCCAAGAAGGGCTTGTCATCCAAGACACAGAGTGGAGTGACAGTTTTACATTAAAGCGGGTCATTATATTTCCCTGTCATCACCCCAAATGACATTTTTAGAAAGTGACACCTTTACAGTTTGATAAATCCGATTTATGCTGAATAATGTGCGTTAGCGCTGTCAGCGACACCCACATTCTCCGATGAGCTACGGTGAGCCGTGCAGGATCCACATTGAAATTTCATCCTATTAGCATTTAATTTCTCTGTAATCCTACACACCTTCATAACACCAACTCACACCAGGCTTTCCTGCGTTCGAGAGAGCAATCTAGGGCCCTTTATAACTTGCTTCCCTCATCATTCTTCTTTCTTGACAATTAAGAGGGTGGAATCTAATAGTGCGGGGATAGGAATTATATCCGAGTCACTGCCAAATCCCAACCTGTTTAGCCCTCGTGTACATGTTTACACACACACACACACACACACGATCTGCTGGGATTTATTGTCATTTGTACATGACTGAAGATGTGATCTTGTTAATCGCTGCCACTGAAGCTGCTTTAACTCCTCACATACTGTAGGTTCTGTTTGACTATCAAGGTTGGAGTTGTGTTATATATTTATTTATCTGATTTCGTCTGTTTTTTCCAGACTCCTGCAGAACAGGCCAAAGCTCGACTCCAGCTGGTGCTTCAAGCCGCAGGTACCAGTCCATTACTGTCAGTTCTCTGCTCATGTGGTCATTACCTGACTTACATACGCCACTCTTAGAAGAAAATATTCTATCAGCGCTACGTATTTGGAACCCCTAAAAGGTCCTTTTTTTAAGGGTTCAATAATAAGAAGTCTTTAGGGTTCTTTGGAACCAGGAAAAAGGTTCTACAGTATATGGAACCTTTTGGGTTCATTCATTATCATTTGTTTTGTCCTTTCCGGATTAAATATTTCATATTATTGACAAACATCAAGACCCTAAAATGTGTTTATGAATGCAAGTGAATGATCACAAATTCAAGATATGGGGGTTAGAAAATGTCTATATTTATACAATTTTATGTAGTTAATCAATATCACACGAAGAGTGCCATTTCAGTTTTTCTCCTCCAAAATCAGCATGATTAAAAAGTCACTACAACATTTTAATAAACAATAAGTGAATTACTACAAAATGTTGCTGAATAATGCAATATATGAATGAATAATAGCCTATAAAGAACTTTCTTTCTTGTCATTATGGAACCTTTTTTTAGCAGAATGCTTCATATATAGAACCCTTTCTCTAAGAGTGTGCATTCCTAGTGTGAATGAACTGAAAATGGCAAGTGGAAACATCTTTTTCTTGACTAATTATTTAATTGAACTGCCGTGAGAACTTGACGAATTAAACATGCAACCATGATAAGAGTTCAGAGTAGCCTTACTATAATTTTAAAAGTTCTGCTTCACATACTGCAGTGCATTTAGGAGAAGAGTAGTCTGTGCAGTGAACAGTATGCAAACTATACAACACAATATTGAACCTTGTAATACTATTGTCGACTAATACATGCATATGTAATCCATCAGTGTTCTGCCTTTAACTGGATAGTAAATAAATGTATACTATTATATTATAACATTATATTACATTATTCAAAGAATGCTTTCTTGAGGAGTTTTTCATGAAGTTCAAAAAGGTCGACTTGCTTTCGACTCAACATGAGGAATTCAGAGAATTACATTTGTTGGCCCATTGGTTAAATTTGTAAGCTGAAAGCTAAGTGAAACCCAACATTTAACCATGGTTTACAGCGACATTGACCTTTTAATGTGTGCCAAACTGCTCAACGTTTTACCTTATTGCTCTATGAGACCAGAGACAGTATAAAGCAGAGACGGGACAGTGAATGACAGGAATTGAAAGTCCCAATATGGCGGCTCTAGGAAAATAAGTCCCACAGTTTAAACAAATGTGAGCTTGGAAAGCATTGTTTTTTGTGTGTGTGTGTTTTTTTTACAAGGTAGGTTTTTTTTATCCTCTCAATAAGATGGCATCATAATCTGTAAAGTCTGATGTCACTCGTCAACATTTCCGGGTCCAAACGCTCTATAAGATGGCAAAAGCAAATGTACACTAGGATCAGGAGACCGAGATCTCAGTGATTCATCTGTTCTGAATCTGTAAAACACTGGTGTCCGGGAGAGACTGTAGTGGACACTGCGAGTTTATTAAAAACTGATTAAATAGTGCTCATAAACCAATTCTCTGATAGTAGTCTCAGCATTACTCACTTCATGACTTGAAAAGTCATCAGATTCATTGCTTATAAAGAGTGGGAATCCTGAAAGACTTTTAGTTCTTCTAGACCATAATATAATTATTTGAATTTGAATTATATTGCAACTCTTAGTTTGTGTAAATAAAAAAGTGACTGGGGAACATCTTCCAGCATGAGGGCCCTTGGAGTCATGGAGGGTTAAAACGGGTGTAAAACACTGAAATGTGTGAAGCATGCGCTCATTGATATAATCCAGTCGCTCTGCCATTTTATATCTATCATTTTTCCTGGCTGGAGGCTTCAGTAAATATTTAGTTTATACATAGGGTTACATTTCAGCTATATTGAATGGTGCAACGCTCAAATATGTGGAAGTGTGTAAACTGTTACTGTACTCATTTACCCTACATTCAGGCTGAGTCGCACAGTTGGCCCCAGATCTTGTCAAGGGTGATGGAGAGATATAAGCAGGGAAGTCACAGTGAGGTAATGTGTAAGAAAAAGGATAGACCTGTGTGTGTGTGTGAAGAGGTCATGCACACAGAAGCCTTCGAGACACAGAGACTCATGACTAAGCTAAATTGACACACTTTTTAAGATAAAAGGAATGCTAAGCTACTTCAACAGCAGCACACGTGTGTCTTTCAGTCCAGAACATGTCCTGTTTCATCCTTTCATCCCTGGATGCTTTCTTTTGTGGGCTTTGATTATGCAGCAGATGTGACAGTATGCTTATTACTTTTTAATGTGTGTGTGCAGGTGTGTGTGTGTGTGGACATGCAGTGTCAGTCGTACAGGAAACATATTAAAGGGACGGTATGCCATACATCATCTAGCAAACACTCACCCATCGGTCCCGGCAAAAAATAAAATACATGTTTACACTGCTTGTAGGATGTGTGATGAAATTCGCATTCAAGATATTCAAATGTCAACATTGTTCAAAAGACATTTGAGTTTTGTCATGATCTCCATGTAGAATCAGACACATAATTTGACATCAGTACTTATACGTTATGCTCCCAAGATCTTAGGACAAACCTTTTTTTATAATATTTATATCATATACAGTGTTTCCTCTAGGATTTTTCCAAGCTGTGGGGGCAGGCCCATTTCCCCGGTGGGGGGGCCTTGTCTCCCCAAAGTATTATAATCGATCATGCGCATCCCGTGTGCAGAATGATGCACTTGAAGCAACACCAAGTCACAGCAAGCAATGCTTCACATTGAAAAGAACATAGCGAAGGGATGGTATCTATAATATGCTTAGTAGGGCTGGACGATTTGGGGAAAAAGTCATATTGCCATTGCAATTACTGAGGTCAATATTGCAATTGTGATGTGCGATTTCGATATAATAAAATGGTTTCATGAGTCCAACTTGCTTGGTTCTAAAGTAAAATGCACACACAGATTAGTGATCATTCTGTGTATTAATGTTTATTTCTCAACCATATACACCAATTGGCTTCATCACTGTCTCCTCTCCACCAGTAAGCTGGTGTGTGGTGAGCGTTCTGGCGCAATATGGCTGCCGTCGCATCATCCAGGTGGATGCTGCACATTGGTGGTGGTTGAGGAGATCCCCCCCTTCTATGTGAAGCGCTTTGAGTGTCCAGAAAAGCGCTATATAAATGTAACGAATTATTATTATTATTATTATTATTAACTCAAACTACAGACAACAACTAAATGATTGATAACACCTATAATGATCAATAAACCATCAACCAAACCATCATTACAGTGAAAGCTATCAACTTTTAAAAAAAAATTATTAGGCTAAAAAAAAAAATTAACAACTTTTAAATTAAGTGAACTTCAAACAATCCCCACATAAACCCATAATAAAAACCATATTTACCTGTGCCCTTCCTGTCTTAACAGGTAGGATACAGAAATTGAATAAAGTTATCAAACAGTCTGTGCTGCATGAATTATAAATTATATATAGAATAATCCTTATTAAAGCTACAAAAGTTCTTTACTCAAGATCAGTGAGTAAATTTCTAATTTCCCTTTGTTCTTTTAACTTGACTGACAGAACGCTTTATTCGCTGCTGGCGCTTTAAGAGCACCCGTTGCCGAGACGCGGATCTCACATGCGCCTCATAGCACTACTCTTTTCGTCCTTAAGACTTTTCTTACGTTATGAAGATACTCGACAAAACGACATTTTGGCATAATTGTGTGTGTTATTGTTCGTTCAAGCTCGAAAGAGAACTGTATTCTGGCACGTGTCAGTGCATGCGCATTATGGCGCGCGTCTTTCTGCGAGTCTCATTTAGGGCATTCACACGAGTCTGCAGCTTCATACTACTCCATTCACAGGCAGCTTTTCAGTTCTTGTCGTGCAAAATGCGAAAAGGCATTTGCACAAATAAGAGCAGGATCGTGTAACACTAGTCAAAGGATGAAAAAAAAGAAGAGATGCTGCGTTAATAGCCCTAATTTGTTTATTTCATATAAAATCGCGGCATTTTGCGTTATATAATTGCATAGGTTTGAGATCGCTATTACGATTGCGATATGATTAATCGTGCAGCACTAATGCTTAGTGTATTCTATATGCAACAGTTTTTTGAGCCTTTTCTTTTAACAGTATTAAATTTCAGTGCGCATGAAGAACAATAGCACTCTCTCGACTCCATGCTGTAATCTTACTTAAAGGGATTGTGAAAGGTATGGGCAATAAACTCCACTCCAGCAAGATAAAGTCATTTTATGAAAACCATAGACCTTTATGCTTTATCTACAAATGAAGTAATAATGGGAATATTGACCTTGAAGAGAGTGTCGTCGTGTCGCAAACGAACGCGACGAGCTGTGTGAATTCTGAATGGAGAATGACTGAGGCGAGATGACTTCCGTTAACTTTAACTTAGCGACTAAAATTACACATTATGCAATGACTTTAGAAGTCTTGGAATATAGGGTGAAAACTTGATTGTGCTTTACAAAGTTTTTTATGCCTTTTAGTGGGGCTTAACAAAATAACATAATACTATGCAGAATATCGGACGTCACTGAGAAGCTGTAGCCGTGGCGGGAGGATTTTAAGTGTGGCAGCCCGCCACGGGAGAATGAATGTAGAGGAAACACTGATATAACCTTGTAATCCGTTGTATACCGTTGAGGTCATGAGGTTTGCATAGAGACGTCATGAAAATGTCATGTTTTTTTTGATTGTGTATTCCACTGGCCTGAAGAAGCATTTTCACATAACAAGTATTTGTGTACAGTCAGCAAGACAACATAATAGGTCTAAGGTGTTTTTGGGGTCCTTGAGATGTTCTGACATGCCCTGACATTTGTGCTTTTTTCAGTTGCTTATAAACCTATTAATGGCACAGGTGAATTTAAACTCTATTTAGCACAAACAGGGCTACCATAATATGTGAGCAACATGTATGTACATGTTTTTGTATTATTGAGAGATTATTGT